GGTCCTATAATCCCAGGAAGGTCTGTTAGCAGCGGTAAGACGAAAAATAGTTACCGCTGTGGCGTAAATTACTCCACTATGATGGCAGTCTGAGGGCGAAATCGTATTGCTGACTGAATGGGATGACACCAGTAAGGTGTTTTCCTTGGATGACAAGCAGTGACATGATGATGTTCCCTTCCCTATATGAAGGGCAAGAGGGATTTGGAAAAGGTCGCCCCCAAATTCGCACACTCCTCTCTGCCCCACGGTCTTACGGTGCCGGCGGTATGGGTTTACTCTATCGTGTTAGAACAATCAAACCTTCAAACAACACCCCACAAAAAAGTTGTATGACAGGTCTTAAGCAGATGTCACATGCGCTTTGAGCGCTCTGAATTCTGGAGTACGTACTTGGATAGCAACCAGGCGTTGGTCCAACCGCGTATATGCCTGCGTCTCAATGGACGTAAGAAAAATTTGGCAATAAAACCACCACGAGTGCTGCTGGACAACGAAAACACCAAAGCCGTGTTCAGTGAGAAGTTGGCTGGACAGTTATCGGAACAAAAGAATATCACTCATCCAGAAGAAGCTTGGTTCCATCTCCAGTCTGCTGTAAAAGCAGCGTTGAGGACCGTAGCCGACTTCGAAATAGTGGCTAGAAACAGCCAGTGGATATCAGCAGCTTCTCCCGAACTAATGAATGCACGTGAACACATCCCTACAGGCTCTGAGTACAGTGAAGAGTGAGCGCAACTTAAAAGTAGATTGAGAAAAAACTCTACGCAACGATCACGAACAGTGGTGGGCAGCGAAGGCTAAAGATATCGAAAAAGCAGCGGCGATCGGTAACAGTAGACAGTTATTTAGACTTATTAAGGAGACTGAGGGGAAAAGGTTGACTGCGGTTAGTGAGGCTATAGCGGAAAAGGACATATCTGCGATTCACTCGCAGGGGAGACGACTGGAACGATGGGCAGAACACTTCGAGGAACAGTTTAACTGGCCTTCAGCCACGATTGCGTTGCCTGCTATCCAGTCAGATCCTGAATGGGACATAGAGATAGCCCCCCCCCCCCCCCAACACTAGGAGAAGTCGAGAAAGCAGTAGGTAACCTGAAACTAGGAAGGGGCGGCAGGACCAGACGGACTAACTCCTGAGGTATAGAAGGATGGTGGTAAGGTGCTATTTGCCAGGTTAACGGAAGTGTTAACCAGTATATGAGAATCAAATACGATGCCCTCTAAATGGTCTAAATCATTGATTATCCCAGCCTTCACGAAAGGCGAAAAGCCCTCTTGTGATAACCACAGAGGAATCAGCCTGACGAACATAATGTCCAAGATCCTAGGTTTTATAATCCTTCGACGCCTGAGTGGAGCTCGGAAACAGCAAGCCCGACAAAACCAGTCAGGCTTTAGACCCGGTCGCGCGTGTATCGATCAAATATTCACACTGCGCCAGGTCCTGGAACATAGACACGCTTACCAACGCCCGACAATACTTGCATTTCTCGACCTGAAGGCGGCAGTCAACTCCGTTAACCGAGAAGTAGTATGGCAATGTCTCACTGAAAGGCGTGCCGAGTAAGTACATCACCTTATTGAAGGTTCTCTACTTGAACACTTGTAGGCATGTTAGAGCCTATGGTGAGATATCCGGGGAGATGTAGTCGTTGAGTGGTGTCCGTCAAGAAAGCGCACTGTCTCCACTCTTACTCAATTTCATCATAGATATTCTTATGAAGGTCTCATCATCAGGTTACACAGAAGTTGACGTAACAGCGGGAGAATTTTCGTTAGACCTAGAATATGTAAATGACATGGTCCTGTTAGGTGAAGACACTGACAAGATGCAGTCTGCTGAACATCTTGAGTAGCAATTTGAGGATGTTTGGGATGCGATTCTCACCACCCAAATGCAAATTGTTGCTCCATGATTGGTTTTCAACGGTGTTACGGCTAACAATAGAGAGTGAAGTATCGACCACTTCACTTACCTGGGAAGTAGGATCAGTCCTGATGCCTTGGTCAGTGGCCAATGAAATCTCGGCACGGATACAAAAGGCTCGGTTGGCTTTTGCCAATTTACGCCACCTGTGGCGCCGCCATGATATCCCTTTGTCTATTGAGAGTCGTGTGTACTGCACAACAGCCCGCTCTGTTCTACTGTATGATTGTGAAATATGGTCATTGAAGGTGGAAGACATGAGAAGGGTGACTTCAGGTGTTTTAGCATGGTTGCCTTCGAAGTATGGGCCGTATTTCGTGGTGTCACCACGTGAGTAACACAGACGTCAGGCGTAGTTTTAGGGAGTAGAGGTAAATCAGTTGACGAGGTTATGAATGTTCATCGATTCAGATGGTTGGAACACGCACTACGTATGCCTAGTCACCGATCGCCTCGTCACATAATGTTGGCTGAAGTAGGTGTAGGCTGGCCAGACTAAAACATGGCACTAATGCATGAAGTCTCTGACTGTTGGTATGAGCCATGTGAGGCGTTGCGGACTTGGTGGTTGGGGTCGGCGGGACAAGAGGAACCAGTGGTTGGAGACTGTAGGTCACCACATGGCTCAGAACCGATGTCAGTGGCGCAGATGTATCGCCACACACATTATCCTCATCTTAACGACGCTATGCCGAATCTCACCATTTTGTCATTCTTCCTTTCGCTCTTTTCGTATTTTATATTTCTTTTGAGTGAATTTTCTTATCTTCATCTTTCACCTTACTACCTTTCTATTTGATGTGGTGATATGGGGTGTGGCGGGAAGTTGGACCGCTACGCAGTAATATTGATACTGATGGTGATGATGAGCTGAAGCTTGAGAAGTCCAGGTAGCTTTCATAACTGGACAAAGGTGCAATGATCAGATTTTAAACCTCCCACAGGTTCTGAAAGGCATACATGTCTACCGGCGGCTTTCACTTCTCATATTCCTCGAGTGGTCAGACTCAGACATGACACCAGTTCATAAAGTCCCTGAAAGTTGGTGAGTCATGTAGAGAATGTAGACTGCCTGGCTGTCCCCGAAACAAAATGAATCAGAGGATGAGGACCCCTGGTGACATAGCTAGAAACCAATCACGACGGCGATGTATTCACTCTGTGACATCTAAGGCTTGAATATTTGCACTGACCGTTATATTCTAGTCGTTTATTGTCACACAACGTTGCCTACTTTCATATTAGTCTTTTCCTGTCCATCGTTTTTGGATATTACTGTAAAGTGTGGCAACTTGAACCGATGTACCTGTATGACGTTGCTTCTTGATTCTCCCAGCTTGTCATATTTCTTGGCCTAAAGGTGGTCTTTGACTCTGTCGACCGTTGTGTTGTGGTAGTGCCTGACTGTGACAGGAGTGTTCCAGCAAGTTTGTAACGCTAAACAAAGCTCTCTACTCGAAGTCATGCAGCTATGCAGTACATTTTGAACGCGTTGAGCAGAAATATAAGTATGTTTGGTGGGCACCTATCAAATGTAGGCTGATGCTCCAGGACCCGTTTCCAACCACTGCCAATTCAAGGATAAGGAGTGAAGTGGTGGAATGCGTGGACCACTTCACTTGGGAAATTGCATCAGCATGAACGGGTTGGTTACCAATGAAACCTCAGCTGGGATACAGAAGGCTTTATTATCATTTGCAAACTTGCGTCATCTCTGGCGTTCACTGCCAAGATATCAGACTATCAATCAAAGGACGAGCATAGTGCACTGCAGTCCATGCTATCCTCTTATACGGCTGGTAAACAGCCCTTAAAAGTAGAAGATATGAAGCAGTTACAGGTTCTCAACCACAGCTCTCTTCGTAACATTTCCTGTGTTTGGTGGAATCATGAGGTGAGCGGTGGTGAGGTCAGGCGAAGGGTACTAGGTAAAGCAGGTCACCAAGTCGATTGATGAGGTTGTGAACCTTCTGTGGCTTGGACATGCATTGCACACGCCGAACCACCACCTACCTCGACGTGGCATGCAAGGGAAAGTTTGACTAGGCTAGAAGAGGGTTCAAAGTGGTCACACCAAGATGTGGCACGAGTGAATGAAATCCCTGACTGTTGATTTAAGTCGTGTTGAGAGATGTAGACTGCCTGGCTGATGTCTTTAAAACTATTGGAACCAGTAGTTGATGACTTTTAGTAATATGGCTAGAAACCGGTCATGATGGTGCAGGCGTATTCACTCTTCGACGTCTTTTCAAGTTTGAATAATCGCACTTATTTATCTCCAGATTGCTTATTCTCTCATACAACTTTATCCACTTTGATATCAGTCCTTTTCAAACGACCTGTTCTTCGCATACTACTGTGGATCGTAGCAACCTGAGCTAATATGCTTGCGTGTGAGATTCTACGTGGATTCTGTCGATCTGTTAAGACCACAAAAGTTAAGAATCTGTCAATGTCTATCGATTTCTGCCATGTATTGGTCTACTAAGTAGGCTTAATTATTGGTAGACATCTATTTACCATAAGATCACATCTACTAAGCCAACGTTTTGCATAAAGTTGAAGATTTCTCTTCCAAGCAGCTACTTCAACTTGAAAGAAGTATTTTATTCACGGTAGGCTTTAAATCATAACGACAAAGGAAGGCACTAAACTGATATTCACTCTTCTTAGGATTCTTTTAATCTGACGGCTTTCAATGTAGGAGTAGACGTCACAATTCTGAGTGACTTTATAAGTCAACATAGCAAATGAACCTCTTGCATTTATGAAATGTTATTCTGTGGCAATACTTACAAAATATCACTTTTTAAATGGAATATGGGTTAGAGAAGTGTCTGAAACATTATTCAACCGGGTTTCAGATTTGGTAGTAAGGAGAGTTTTCCTTAAGCATCACAGGCATAATTCTTGCCAAAACGATTCACCTACAGTGTTCCTATGTGAACAATCAATGATAACCGTCTATAAACTTGAAATCAAACAGATAAACTTAAACTGTTAGCTAATTAAAAGTAACCATGAGAATAATACTACCGTGAAAATGGAAAATGCCTTGGGAACTCACCAAAACAAACCCCTACATAGTCTTTTCAAAATTCCCACATATAAAGACATTACAAATAAGCGGGATGAGCATAGATAGGCGCCGATTGATCAAATAAAACTATGCGCTATTATTTAAGTAATGCAGGAAATTTCTTATCAGTAAATAGTATCTGAGATCTTTTTCAAAAAAGAAGTTTTTGCATCCTTTCCAATGGTTGAGTTTTCGTATGCCTTACTATCTTAATAACCCTTTCTCTATGTTCAGCAACGCAAACCCTTGAGTCGGACAGCTAGTCTTCCACTGCAATGATTTTACCATCCTCCGGTCACCAAACAGGCCAATTCCACTGAAACTTGTTCAAAGGGCAGGTACTAAGATTGTGACAGGCCTTTGGAATCTGCCTACGAGGAACGACTATATCGGCTAAATTTATTACCTCTGTCTTGCCGTAGGAAGCAGGTTGGTCACATCCTGGCATTCCATATCCTTAATAATGATTTCGGTACTGATACATCCCATCTTTCATCTCCTGCTATGGTTGCTTATCTCCTAGGGGATCGAAAGAAAATCTGAAAACCGCGACCATATCAACTTAGCGTGAATCTGCGTTGCTCCCATCGTGTGGTCAACGGCTGGAATTCCTTACCCCAGCTAACAGTGTCAGTACTTTTGGTTAGCGCGTTCAAGGAGAAACCAGATCTTCACACAGATATCTCCAAAGATTAGCACAGGCCAACTAGCCTACTATTCTTACTGCTGAAAACTGAAACTAAAACTGAAAGGACACGTTTTATGGTTTCATCCTTCCCAACAATAATAAACGTGCATCATGCACAAATTATTTGTGCATGCATGATGTTCATCTTTGAGTACTGGCAAATCACAGGCCCGGTTTCCACAAGAAACGTGAAGTGAATTCTGAATCTGGTCGTGTGCCACTGTAGCCATGCCAGAGTTCATCGCCATAATAAACATTCATATTTTCTGGCCAAGCCACATAGTATAATATAGATTACAATAAATTGCCTTAAAAATCCACGGGTCACGGGCAAGCTACAAGCTGTGTGTCAACTACGTGACATCGGTTTTACCACCGTTTATAATGAATGGTGAATAGGTCATTACCGCTAGCAGTATGTAAACACTTATTCTTTCCCTGAGGTAATCTGTACTCCCAGAGTGGTTCCGACGTGCATCATCTTTTAAGTGAGCGCATCACACCTAGAGTTTTTGAACTTTGTAGTGTGGGAGTTAGGGCTGGGTTTCCCACTCCTTCGGGGGGTACATTTTTCTGTTCCACTTTCCTCCTGATAGTTCACGCTTGCGAGATCGTCTGTGAGTGGCTTCTCTTTTCGGTCTGTAGTCTGGGTGGGCAGGGAGGCTAAGGAGCTTCCGAGACGGTCAGATGCTTCATGCACCTCCTCCCTATCTGGGAGCCTGGAGTTGTGGGATTTAGCATAAATAAGGTGGAGAATAGAATCAAAATGATCATTATATCTGGAGGAAGGAGAAAGAAAGAGAAAATGTACGCATAGTGACTGTGTATCTGAGTACATATGGTGAGTGTCACTAAAAAGTCAAGGCTGAGAAAAAATGGTGAGGAGGAAATAAGTAGGTGTTAGTTAGCCTGTGATGCCAGTGGCTGCTTGCGTAGGTTGGCAGCGGAACATGCCCCATACGTGTTCACCTAACTTTCTTTCGCATGACTTTATTGTAGCAGCCATCGCTATTTCCTGCGGTTAACAGTCCCATGGTGCGCGTGCTCTGATCGAAAAGAAATTTGTTTTATCTTATTGTGGGCCCTTTATTGTTGCCCTCGCTGGGTCACCATATGGTTTCCATTTCGGCGTTAATTTTTTCATTTTCTCCGCCTGGTGAACAGCCTCGCATGCTGTTATCAAGTAACCTCGTTTCACATGATACTTCAGGTTGGATAGGCGAATTTACCGAGGATTCTCAAAATAAGTTCAGCCCTCACTCCCTACGGCATTATCCTTCGTCTTTCCCCACCCCTTCTCCAGAAGGTTCCGATTCCACCCAGAACGTGGAGGCAGTGCTGTGTTAAGGATCTCGGGATGTGTTCTACAGAATGTTTTGAATGCCAAAGGGAAAAGACCAGGAGAAAAGGCTCCTAGCTACTCCAAAAGTAGCCTGTAATTGAAGCTGCTCCTGCAGTCATTTTTTAACGCTTCATGATGGCGCCCAGTGTAGAGGATAAACTGAAGTCAAAATATTCCGCCTTTGTTGCCATTTAAAAATCGTGACCATTTGCAGTGCACTTCGTACCTCCGATTTCGGCATCTTGAAGTTACAATACCTCGCACCTTCGCGGGTTAAAGCTCGGACAATTTCTCACCGATTAGGATTTCAGTTGTAGTTACTCTGGTTTATTGCTTGTATCCATTATCGCCGTATTTCGATGCTGACTGCCAATTTTAGGGTGGGGAAAACTCTCTCAGACAAAACGTTTATGAATGGCAGAAGCAGAATGGGACCACGGAAACCTCAGTGGGACACACAAGACGTGGAAACCCCTCACGTAGAATTTGCAACCCTTAAAGTGTGTCAAGAATCAAAAAGTTAGCTGTTCATTGATTCCCACTCCCAAAAATATTTTGCTTAATTGCTGCGCAGGAAAACCCCAGTAGCTCTTACTAGGTCAAATGATGTGACGTCAACCCCTAGTTTATTGTCCCATGTGACTTTCCAGTCGACAAGGCGATCAGTGGGTTGGTTCCACAAACCTTCGGTTCCTAAAACTGTGTCGGGCGCAGTGAACACAAATAAGTAAACAAACATTTCGTTCTGTTTTGCAAAGTTAGCGTCAGAAAATGCAGTTTGAAGGCGCCATCACGTTGAAAATTATCGGGAAGTCTGCAAGATTCGGGCGGTCCTGAATAGTACTGAAGGAGGTCATTGAACCCCATCAAAGCATCAAAAGAGTCTCCCAGTTATGTGGTGAATGAGAAGATATCACTTTCTAGCACATGCAACGTGCCTGACTTCAGATTGTTTTCAGTCACATTTTTTACCATAGGTGGCATTAAGGCCGCGCAGTATTACAAGTTTGTGTTACGAGCAGTCGAGGTATTTGACTCGCCTTCACACTGGCATACTACGCCAGCCAGACATCTGTTTCACTATAAATTCCCACGCTTGTGGCTTTAGTGACCAAAAGAACCCGCGTCTACGGTCTTGGGACTCAGTAGGCTTCCACATAATTACGTGATCTACATGAGTATCCGTGTTCAAGAATTTCCCGTTCTCCAGGTGCAGCCCCTGCTAATGTGTTGGCAATATGGTCCTAATTTACACCAAATTGGGAACTTTACCATGGCAGTTTTGCCAACAGCTTGATCACCTCCATCTGAAGGTTTCGGTTCTACAGCCTGTGGGCGTTGACCTACCTAGTCGGTCAAAAGCGTCCACTTTTACAGTTGGGCCTATAGCGGATAGACACAAGTGTTCCCATCATAACGCAGCCTTTAGTCACAGTGGTTTCAACCCAACGATATAATACTTATTCATTCCTTCTGTAAACTCGCCTTTGCATCCTGTATTCACATGTAGCTGAAGTATATCCCAAGGATATTAAAACGCAATTGTTATGCCTTTGTATCGAGTATCATTAAATTGCGGCGCAATATAAGCACTGCCCCTGTCACTTAGGCACAGCTGAACACCCACCGTAAGACTCGGCAACCAATCGAAAAACTTTTGCTTGACCACTGGAAAGTCAGTTCCCACCGTCTTAAGTAATTTTGGGTGACTTGTTTCATGCTGGCGGCTTTTGCCGATCTATCCACGTCGCAACCGTCGCATACGTTCATACTCCATAAACGTTTCTCATTTATGTTGGATTTATGATTCTGGGTTTGTTAGCTGTCTGGATTTCAAGTTCCCCACCTATATTCTTGGCAGTCAAAAAACTTCTATATGAAACGTTACATTTTATGTCGGAAAAGGAAAAGCTGGAGTGAAGGGTTGTGTACATTCGAAAAAATAGAAATATCCTGAAACAGGGGATTCGATATTTGTCTGAAACAACCCGATCGAGGGCGCACATGCACGCAACCAAGCCACAACTACTTTGATGGCTTTCCCACACATCCTTGACCGGGGTAAAACAGCGCTTCCAGGAAGGTAAAAGGAACTTCAGAAGAGGCAACAAGTTACAGTAAACTGAAAGGAATAACAGGAGGCGAACAAAATTGAATCTACCGAAGAAAGAAGGAAATAAACACTCCTGTGGAATTTGGCAAGGGGGGTAAAAACGAGGACAATAAGGTTACAATCAAGCATTGAATATCTGGAGTGACTATGGCTGTGAAATTCAAACAGACTGGCTTCGTCTACTGCGTCCCCCAACAACATATATATATATATATATGTTTGTACCAGTACGGTCACTATGTTTAACCACATAGATTCAAATTTATGGCCACCATTGTCCGTAACCTACATCAAATTCTATGGCGCAGTTGAGCGGTACACCTTCTATGTATTTATGCAAAGAATTGCTTGGAATTTTTCGAAGGCAGTCAAGTTATATGATGCCGCCGCACAAAAACCAAAAACCAATATGAATCCAGCAGCGGTGGTCGTCATTTTCAAGGCATCATCCTTAAGAGCTCGAATATAACCATAATCTATTACAAGGTCTACCCTTCGAAAAACGCGACGTTGGGTCGTTCCCTAACAAAACAGTGGATGTGAAAATAGGATATGGATGGACGGTCACCTATTGTTTCAAAGCTCGACGATCTCCCCGTGCGAGAGGTAGCCGAAGAATTCTTCATTGGAACCACACAAAGTGTTAAGACTACAGATGGCAATGTAGCTTGACCCGGTATTTATGCATGTGCCTTTAGCAACGAACTGCACATTTTACACAAGTGTCTATTGTACTACCCGACTACCCAAGCTAAAGCAGACGTATGACCTGGAACACGCTGGTCTAAATTCAGGCCTTCAGTCTAGCGGTCGCCACTTGACTTTGTGAGCTGTGAGCTGCTGAGATGTTGGGCATCCGCATGTAC